AACATGGTCTGTTCACTTTTTAATCTGGCAAAACACTGAGCATAATGATGTCATTTCATTTCTCCAAAAACATCCTGAAGTAGAATTGCAAAGTATGTAACAAAGAAATTAAAAACCTTTTATATTTTCCAAGATGTTCATATACTATTGCCCTGTCTTCTTCTTGCATAAAACAGAAATATTAAAACCTACATCTTAACAGACAATGAAACTTCAACCTTGAACAAAAAAAAATTAAAAGAAATATTTTTAAAGCTGTTTTTTTATATTTTCACTTGATTTTTCATTGTTATTATTACTATTATTACAATTGTTAATGTATTTGTGATCCTTTATGTGGATGAGAACTACCTTATTTTCAATGTTGCCATATGCTATTGTTTTGTTGTAGAATATATAATAATAACATATTGTTTAGCTTTTAGCTTGTTTTCTTTTTCCTTTTTTAGAGAGTTTTACTTTTTGTCTTTTTACCAGTTGTTTGGTACAAATAGCCTTGTTGCTTTGAACCAATAAGCCCCAAACAACCAACCAACTAACAATAAATGTTGACCTTATGAAAAAGATTTATTGGTAACAACCTCACCTTCCAAAAATGGCATCACTGTTACCATTACTGGGTATTGTGTCATAATATTTGACATTTTTGGTCAACACCAATTAACATTTATTTCATAGTTATAAAATGTTTCCATAAATAAAAAAGTGTTTATATCTGTGTTTGTTGTATGAACATATGAAACTTAACAATACATTCATATAAAAAAATATTTCTATCATCTGAGTTGTTTGCCTTTGCAAGCTTAGCCTACCATACTTACACATATACTATCATATGTTTGTGACAATTGTTATGCTTACATCCAGTTTTACCCTTGTTGACACTTGGTCTGATTATTCACAATCTTGCTCAGATTATCATATGGCAAAACAACAGCCTGTGTCCCTTAACAGTCAATGGATAAACACTAGAACTCTTTGGTATTTTGCCAGCTAACCACTGCTAATCTCAAATCTTTAATGTTCTACAATAAAGTTCTGCTTAAAGTGAAATTGAAAGTTCAATATTACTTTACTATTGAAATTAATATTATTGAATCAATCTACTGATCATGTGCCACCTTCTCTATTCAAATACAGTGTGTGTGTGTGTGTGTGTATACACATATATATATATATATATATATACATCTCCTAATTCTTCTTTTCAGTAATTTTTAAGCATCATCAGCAGTTTCAACCCTTGATAAGGGTTAAATATTTTATTTACCTTAAGTCTTTTATCCACAAAACATTTTATCTGCAGCCAAGTATATCTTTACAAAATATTCTATCTTCTTGTCTTAAGAATTCAACACAAGGAATTGAGATACATTTATTCTATCAATCTCCAGATATTAAGTTTCAATATGATAACACCTCAATGGATTATATTTATCTACCACTATGCCAAGTTCTATTTCTTCAGTCATGCTCAGAGATCCCAGATTTATTAAACATATGACATAAACAATAAAAAGACCCATCTGGTACTTCAAAGCTGTCCTTTCACTTCCATCCCTAGAAAAGTTAAAAATTAAACCCATCCTTTACTCTTCAGGAAATCATGGATTCCCCTGCTAAACCCCTGTAAAATAAATACACTAGTGCCAATGGCAATTCATTCCATAAGTCAACTGCCCTTTTAGAAAATTAAAATTATCTTAATGGAGCCCAGCTTGTCTTTCCTTATTCTTCAATTTAAGTCCTCTTTTCTTAACTAGTAGTTTTGTATAGAAAGATAGTTAACTCTTTTGTCTTGCTAATATTTTTTGCATGTACATGAATAGTGAATAAATGCTAGAAGATTGAAAAGTTAGCTCATGTTACTCCTCTTTTCAATGGAGGTAAAACAATTGTCCAGGTAATTGCCTATTAACCTTAAATCAGTGATAGGAAAAGTTTTTGAAAGTCTTATAAAAGATGCTTTGCAAATTTATTTACAAACTTTAAAAGTCTGTTAAGTAGTCACTGCAGTTCCACTAAAGAAAATATATTATCTTACTAATCTTTTGAGATTCTTTGAAGAGGTTACTGCTTATATAAATGAGGGTAAAAAAGCAGATATAATACATCTGGATTTTCTAGACAAGGTCCCAAATAAATGCCTTCTTTAAAAAGTTACTTATAAAATATATGGAAGCTAAGTTGGCTTCTTAGATAAAAAATGGTTGGATGGAAAAAAGCAGAAGGTTGTTATAAATGGAGTTCAGTAAAACTGAATTAATGTCACATATGGGATACCTAAGGACTCAGAACTAGGATCTTTCCTATTTTTGATTTAGATGAAAGAATGGCCAATAAACTCCTTGTATTTGCTGATGGTATTAAGATCTTCTGTGTTGCTAGTTGTGAGAAGGATGCTACCACTTTACAAAAAGATATAGATTATTTGGTGAGTTGGGCAAACAAATGTCAGATGGCTTTCCTTTATATAAATACAAGATAATGCATGTGGGTTATCATGATTTAAATTATAGTAATAATTTTGATTATAATAACCTCAACAGTATTAAGGAAGAAAATGATCTTGGTGTTTTGGTTGATCAATCTCTCAAGCCATCTAAATAGTTTTCTGTTGTTAATGGAAAGACAAACAGGAATACAAGTATAAAGAGCTTATAATTTTAACTGTAAAAGTCACTGGTTAGGCCTCATTTGGAGTATTGTGTTCAGTTTTGAGCTTCTTACCCAAAGATTGACAGTAAATTGTTAGAAATGATTCAACGAAGGGCTACTACAATGATACCTGGGTTATCATATGAGGATAGGTTTAGATCTTTGATGTATTTTTCTCTTGAAAAAAGTAAAAATGGAGGGTTCCTGATTGAGGCTTTAAGATTGTTAAAGAAATTGATAGTGTTGATGCATCATCTTTTTTCAAACTTAATGGTGAGAAAAGCAGGACAAGAGGACAAAACTATAAATTTTGGCTGGGTATGAGTCATCTTTTCTTACAGCATAGCTGGCCTTTTTAACTTGTGGGAGATTAAAGGGAAAGCTTGATAAGTATATCAATGGTGTAGGAAGGGGTTGCAAAGTGGAGGTGCTTGGCTAGACATGCCCCCCAGAAAATCAATGTAATAATATAATTTATAGTTGTTATATAAGTCAAATATGTTAAAATGGGGGTAGCTATGGCAATACTGGTTCCAATGCCTCTGTATCTAAATGATAATTGCTGTTTTTAAGTTTAGTTTGTTGGATATGACAGAATGGATGGACCAACAAGGCCACTTATAGTCCTAAAATGTTATATCTATAAATATACCCTCAATTTCTTAATGTGTTTACTACTAAAGCATCAGGTCATTGCTTTAATGGCTTGACTGACTTATCCACCACTGTTCCAATATCCATGTGAAACATGTGATACAAACTATGATATTAATAAAACTTTTAATTTTAAGATTTTTACCGGTTGTTTGGTGCAGATAGCCTAGTTGCTTTGCACCAATAAATGCCAACCAACCAACCAAATTATGATAACCCAAATGCATTACCATGCACTTACTATAAATAAAGGTCATTTGCTAAATATTTGTCTAATTTCTCAATTGAAATAAATCATTCTGTAGTATCTCAACAATTAGAAATGCATGAGTTTAGCATCATCAGCAAACTTTACTATCTTTTCAATTATCCTCTATCAACATAAAAAAAAAAGCAAAGGCCCAGGCACTTCCCCTGGGGTACAAAATTGGAAATATAGGTCCAGTTTGATAAACCTCCATTAACAGGGCTTAAAATTAGCATTGGCTAGCTGGCAAAATGCAAGTTGATTCTAGTGTTTAGCCAATGGCAATTATAGGGCACTCACATTTTGTTACAGCTGATAATTGAGGCATGATTATGAATATTCAGACCAGCCTTTAATAACTGATTTCAGGTTTTAAAGATCAAAGCAGGAAATTCTCAACCGGTATTCATATTTGTTCAAACTATCACCAATATATTTAAACATTATTAACTACAACTTAAAAGAAAAAATTTCAATATTTTCAAAAAATATTTTATTCAGAAATAAATTTACAATAGTTGTTTTTCATGAGTCAATCACCATATTAATAAACCAATTTTCTGATACTCCTTCAAAAACTTTTGACCAAATGCCAAAACAAACTTATCAAACAACTTAGTATGTACATGGAATTAATCTTACTCTCAAAATACATTAGTTTTCAAAACTACAAAGTATCTTCAACATCTATAGTTTGATACGTCATAATGTTTCAAAAAATAATAATAAAACAAAAAAGTTAATATGCTCTTGAAAATAGTCATGATTCAAATAATATCTTATTTCAAAGCTAATCACAGGTCTGAAAAAGAGCTTGGCATGGCATCCAAAAGAATGTCTCAAAAAGAATGAAAAATTAACTAAGCAGAAGCCCATAACAACAAATAACTATTTCCAAAGACAACTGAACAAAATGTAAATTGATAAATATTTAAGGTAATAATACTGATAATGATAGTTTAATGAAAATTTGGCATAATCAATGATATTGAATTTTACCGGTGATTTGTTATTGTACGGACAAGTACGAAAAATAAAATATTAAGAATTGGCATTACTCATTACCACTACAGTGCACAGAGTTCTTACGTATGATTTGTCTCTTATTTCTCATGCAATGGGAAAAGTATTTCCAGTTAAAAGAAAAATAAATACCATTTACAATAAAACCCTGTGATTGAAAAAAACAAAAAAAAACATTCAAATTAAGTCGAAAACTATCTCAGTATCTATCTTATAAGATATATAACATATAATCGATGTGCAAATCGGCTTGCCGACCTCACGTTAATCACGCCGGGCCATCAATGCCACAGAACGCCGTTAAATTGAAATATAACTTCAAAAGCAACATTATTTCTTAGTAACACTAACAGTATCATTCGGCTTCAGGCGGTTTTTAGCATAAATACAAAAAAAAAGCAATTTAGAAATTCCTTACCTTAGTTTTTGTGATAACGTGGGTAGCCAGCCTCACAACCGCAAAATTTCCTTTGCCAATGGTTTTCTCAAGTTCATAAAATCCAACTCGAACAAGTCCAGTAGTCACAACTCCTGATCTATCTTTCAATCGAACCGTCGCCATTTTTACCCCACCTAACAACCATGCGCATTACTTTCCAACACAGTGGGAAACTGAAACTGAAACCACCTTTTCATGTTATCTGACGACAAAGAGTTTGTTTATTTAGCGCAAAACTACACAAAGACTATCAATATGTGCTCTGCCTACTGTGTGTATCGAAACCCAATTTTTAGCGTTAGAAACCCTGAGACTTATCGCTAAAACACTGAGGGACACGACGAAGAAAGTAAAAGTACATTTAAAATTTGTATTTATTTATCTATCGAAAAACATGATGTTCTCTTTACTAACTAATTTTCACTATTTGACACATGATTTAAACAGAGTAGGTGATACAGAGAATGCAGTTGTGGCTACATAATCGTTGTGAAACTGGTATTATCTGAAAAGTAAAAGAAAAACATTTAGAAAAAGCTGTAAGGTTATAAGTTCTAAAAATTATATGCATGTATTCATAGAGTATTTCATGACAGTGGTAATAATTTAATGTATAGTTTCGTTCAAGCTTCGTAGAAAACTGTTATCGGAAAAAACTGACACATAACAACTTTCTACCTGTCAAATTTGGAATATTATAAGACCATAAGAAATTCTTAATTGTGCTTATTTCTTTAATATCAAAAATCATTCAGCTGTCCTAGAGCTTCGAAACTATTTTAGTTGTTCGTAGGTTAGATCCAATCACGTTTTATATTTGTGAAATGCAGGCCCGCCGACAGGGGGGGGGGGCAAAGGGGGCAACTGCCCGGGGGCCCGTGTGAATGAAACCTGGTTATGCTGTGAATTCCGCAAAGAATCTTTAGGCTATATCTTCATTTAATGATAAAACCCATAGTTTTGGGCTGTTCTTTGCATATAGACGCTTGATACATTAAAAACGGCTGAAATAATAATTTGAGTAATAATTAGTATGTATTTGTTACTTTATAGACTATTAAAATATTTGTTGTTACTTTATTAACGTTTTTACGCTTATACTGTGAGGTAAAAATGGCTGCTGCTATGGTTTTGTCTGGTTTATGAGCTCGTTGCTGTCCTAACTTAGAATCTTCTTTTTAATAAATTATTGAAAATGTTAAAAAAGAGAGAGGGGAAGGGGGCCCGGCGAGGATGTTTGCCCCGGGGGCCGTGCTGACTCTCGACGTTCCTGATTATCATTATTCACAAAATATTAATGCAAGGTATTGTAACGATTTAAAAGCTACATTATATTAAAACTATTGGGAAACAAGTATCAAATACCACGATGAAAGAAGAACAAAGCTCAAGAATTAAAGTCCAATTTTATACAATCATGGGAACGAAATATGATTTACTTAAACTTTGCATTATAACTTCATTTGATTTTATGAGTACTATTATATTCACGATGTTAGGAAAACACGTTGGTTCAACAAGTCAATTTAACTCAAACAATATGATACCCTATAACTCGAGCGCTTTCGAAAGATGGACCTTTCTTGTTCAGGGTCGAACAAGTTGTATATGCAAATAATTTGCTTGTAACCTGAAACACGAACATATCATGCAGCTTCAAAACATGTAGTGTTCAACAGAAAACAGACACTTGGGGCTTCCTTTCAGCAACAAAACAGCATAATACTTATTTTCGACCTGTAACAGTAGCCAATACAAGTTCTACAATGGCACTTCTGCAACGAATAATTTCGAAATCAGTACCACGTCGTATAATCTCTGGATAATCATGAGGCTCAATGGATAATCTTCATTTCAAAAATAAATTTTATTTATTTTGAAAGGAATGCGGAAGTAACATACATTTTGCAATTGGTAAAGCTAAATTATATACATATATATAATGTTACATGAAAGTCCAAGAATCATTACGTCACATAAACAGTTATTATTGTGTAATTTCTGTTGATTTTTTCCAGATTCAAGTAGTAAGTTATCAGTTTTTTCACTTTTCTTTCAAGGATGAGTTAACTAGCACACAATAAACGAGGATATAAAATACTTCGAGTTATGTTTTTATACTGGCACTGTTACGAATTATTTTCTGTGTTGATGATTTGATTTTACATTCTAACTATGAAAAGATTACAAAGATACTGCTACGTCAAGAAATGGAATATATTAAGAGTTCTGAAGAAAAAAAAAATAGTTCTTATGACAAGAAAAATATCTTGAAAAAAAAAAGCTACTCAAAAGGACATTAGAATGTTTATAATAAACTGTAAATATAAGTAATGAACCTATAATATCATTCTTATTTTTATGACAACTCCGGTAATATTTTACAATTAAACATCGTCTATAGGCTATGGTGTCGCTGCGTTTAATATTATTTTTTTTTATAAAACAAACATAAAGTGTTTTAATAAAATCCTGCTAAACGTATTATTCAATAGGTATGTATATAATGAAAAAACTATATTTTTTATGCAGTTTGCAAGATTCTTTACAAGCTACTTACATTTTGATAAACTATCAGAACAAAAAAAAAGTGAAAATGAGCGTAAACTGGAAAATACGAATAATGCAGGTTATCAAATAAAAGACTGTCACAAAATTATGTTTTCTCCATTTCACGCTTGAAAACTATCCTTTCATTTTTACATGCACATTATATTTCGTAAGCAAAATTATCAAAAGATATTTGTTTTGTAATATACTTTCCTTTTTTTTTAATTTATAAGACAAATCCTCGAATGACACACTTGGCGAATTATCTGTACCGTCTTGTATAAACTAGTTTACTGTAACCTCATAATGTGAGTCACCAGACGATTCACAATACGCATTCATCTTAACACACTAGGATGTATTACAATATAAACACTTTCAAAGCAAGTTTCTCAGAGGGAAATGTCGAATCTAGAGAAAACTTCCCGGAAGCTATGAAATAGAAGGGTAGATGAGGAACATACATGATTCCATCAGACGTAGATAACATAGGATTCGTCAAAGATCACGTAAAATAATCGCAGTACTTAATTGTGACCACAACACTTTTTTTAAAAAAAAATTCAGCTCGTAGGCAAACACAATACACAAGTAATACATCATGTCGTATCCATTCCAGTAACAAGCACATGTACAGTGATAAAATTGAGCTCGTTTATTATTATTTTTTTTTTCTACGTGATG